TGCGTTGCGCAGAACGTCGAGCAATTATGAGCCAGACGCGTATGGGTCAGCTTCATCGTATGGAAGGGCCTGGCAAACCGTGGTATGTGGAGATCGCCGTGACATGAAAGACGTTGCGTAGTTAAATATTGTCCATATTCCCAATTCCCATGTTCCCAATACTTTAAACACGGATATTATACGAGCATTTTATAATTAATTTTCATTTACTTTTGAATGCGCAAAATGTGCACGTAAATTGTTTCTCGTTACAAAATACATAAATGCACCAGTTATGCAAAGTTGATTTAGTATACAGAGACTTAGAGTTGTAAACAGCTTTATCTCGAGTATTCACAACACGGAAAAATACACTTTAAATGCAGAGTGCGATTTTATCTTCGTTCGGTAAGATATGTTTGTGACTAGACTGGTTGTGATAATGCAGGCGCCTTATCACAAACTGTATGCCATACAAAACGATCGGATAATCATTATATACTAATAGAGAATACATGCATATTACTCGGCTACCAACAAAGAACTTTATCTATTAAACTAAGTAAAACTTTTTTAGTTCTCGAAAAAAAAGCTTTTACAAATCTGTCTTTTTTTCCTACTCTCGCAAATGGACAAAAGTACTATTATTGAATCAGAAGCCTCCGTTTAACAATATATATAGAGGGTGAGACTTCAACAACGCGATTCAAATAAACAGCTTAACTGATTTTATTAAAATGTTGAATTGTTTTAAATGTACCATTTCCACATAAACAAAATTATACAAACTAATTAAAATACTTTAATAACACAGGTAACTGGCTTCCAATTAAACTGCATCCAGAAAATTCAGTTTAATCGGAATAATTTAGTTACTAGAAAAATTTAAAGAATTATTTCGGGCGCTGAAAATTTTCCACAAAAACTGTTTGACAGCGTTTTCTCAGTGCAGGGCAGCAATAAGCAAATTTCCATAGTATTACATACGCCAAAACCTTGAGATATCCGACATATTGGGTTCTGAAAAATTCGGAATGGGCCAGCTCGAACCTGCGTAATGAGGTACGATGTTTTGCGGCACGATGAGTGTCAGTGACCAGATCAGGCGCCACATGGTGTGTAGGTTACCCTAGTAGATTTGGAAAATAGAAATTGTCACCTTCTATAGCAATAACGTAAGGTTATCGATTTGATGTTAGTTGAGTGTCTTTAAGATTCCCTAGATGTACAGTAATGGACAAAAGTATATAGGCAAATTAATATTATGCTGTATTTCTTTTTTAACTTGTTTTATTAATACACCAACCTGTATGCATAATTCGTTATAGCATAATACTCACTTATACATAAATTCATTAGACTCCCTTCAATTAAAAAGTAATTGAAAAAACTGGATGAAGGACAAAAATATAGACAAAGCAAAACAATTATAGAAACAAGAAGCAACGTTCATTAAATTATAGAAAACCAACCATGTTTGTGTTAATATTTTGTAGCATACCCATTAGTACCAATCACCGCGTCTGGCGTCCTCTCGGCATAGATTGTAGAAGTTTCTTGATATAAGATTCATCAATCTGTCTCCACTTTTGCTCTAAAACGGCAAAAAGTTCATCCTTGTTTGAATAATTTTTGTCTCGTATTTGCTTATCTAAGTATTCCCATAGATTTTCACTGGGATTTATATCGGGAGACTGTGAAGGCCATTTGAGAACTGGTATTTTTTCATCCTGAAAGAATTTCTTTGCGAGATTTGAAGTGTGCTTCGGGTCATTATTTTGCTGGAAGATTGATCTTAAGGGCATATTGTCTTCCATATAGGGTAACATGAGATGCTTTAGTATGTCTGTGTATACAAACTTATCCGTAATGCCATCTGTTCTATGTTAAGCACCCAACTCAAACCCCGAAAGACACCCCCAAACCATAACAGACCCGCCACCATGTTTGACAGTGGGCAAAGTGAACTTGGGGTTCAATCTTTGTCCACTAGGACGCCTAACGTAATGAACACCCTCTGATCCAAACATATTGAACTTGGATTCGTCACTGAAACATACCCTCTTCCAGTCACCGATGCTCCAATCAAGATGCAACCGTGCAAATTGTAATCGGTTATAACGGTTTTTTTTCGAAATTAGCGGCTTCTTACTGGGGCGACGTGCAAATAACTTCAAATCATTTAATCTTCTACTTATAGTTTTCGTAGAAACACTGACAATTCCTTTTGTCTCGACAACTTCAATTTTTATTTGTCTTGAGGTTTTAAACGGATCTTTGGACGAAATTACTTTTATTAATCTAACTGATCTAGCATTTAGTCTTCTATCCCGACCACTTCTCTTAAAGGCTTCCAATATACCTTTTTGTTTATATTTGTTCAATATTGCCCAAACTGCTTTACGCTTGAGCTTGAGAAAGTTCCAACTTTCACGACACCCTGTATATATAACAATTTAGTAAATAAGTTACGTCTGGACTCAATATTCTATGTGGTATTGTGTTTTATCAGTTTTTTAAATATTGTTTCCCATATTAATTATCTAAAAAATTAAATATTTGATGTTGATAAAAGTGGGTATTTCGTCGAGTTGTGATGAATAATAATGACTATGTATTGCTGCCGAGTCCTACGCATTTTCGTTAATCCGAATTAGGAAAAAATGTATAATGAATTAGCCAATTTTCAACAAAGCTTAATTATTATACATATAACTTATAATAAAAGGAAATAGAACGATTTGAAATATGCTAAAATTTGTCGGCAGTAACGGATTTTGCATATGTAATAATACGTGTACGTTTCATTTCGTTAGCTACAAAAATTACAAAACCACTGGAATGATATTTTGGGAGAATTACTATGCGAATTACTATTTGTCTTATAACAAAAATATTTCCAGATATTTGGAAGATCGCTAAGGTCTGTCCAGTGTTTAAGTGTGGGGATAAATCAAATATTGAGAATTACAGGGCAATCTCTATATTATGCATGTTCTCGAAAGTCTTTGAAATAGTCTTGTACAATCGCATTTACACTGCCGTCCAGCGTCAGCTGTCATTGCATCAACACGGATTTGTCGCTAATCGCTCAACAACCACAAATCTATTTATAATAACGCAGTACCTCTCGGAAGCCATTGATAGTAATGAGCAAGTTGACGTTATTTATACCGACTTTTCGAAGGCTTTCGATAAAATTAACCACAAAACTTTATTAAATAAGTTAGGTGCACTTGGTTTCACAGATGATGCTGGGGAGTTGATGAAATCTTACTTATCCGATCGTAGACAATTTGTTAGCTATAATGGCACCTTCTGGAGTTCCTCAGGGGTCCAACCTGGGACCATTACTGTTTTTGATATTTATTAATGACCTCTGTGACTCAGTTGAATGTGAACGCCTATGCTTTGCTGACGACCTAAAAATTTATTCGCAGATAAATAGGTACTCCTGATGATTGTATCAAGCTACAACACCAATTAAATGTTGTGCTGTCTTGGTGTGTAGAAAACAAGTTGGAGCTTAATGTGAGGAAGTGTAAAATAGTCAGCTATACCAGGAACATTGTTTGCGAATATCCGTACTCTATTGATGGGTCTGTGCTAGTGTACACAAGTCCCATTAATACTGTAGAGGGATTAATAGAAAGAATAGTTGCAGCTTGTGATAGAATAAAAAACACTCTAGGGATATTTTAACGAGTGCGCAATTCCATGAGGGCGGAAGCATGCATACTAAGTGAAGGGGGGCATTTCCAACAATTTTTGTAATCATTTTGTTGGTTTTAATGTTATGTTTATGCTGTCAGTTATTTTTGGCCATTACCCCTAATGTGTTTAATTTTCTCAATTAAAGTAATAATAATTTTGCAAGTTAGACAATAGGTTTTTATTTTTTTACTCAAAAATGGCGCATCGAAGGAAAACAATTCAAGAGAGATCATTTATTTTAAATTGAACGGGGAATTCAAAAATAATTTTCATTTAACAAAAAACCATTGGCGTACCATTTTTTTCTTAAAAAATATCGAAGTCAATACCCGTACGCAGGCCACTGTTGAAGTTAAAACTTATTTTTGCATTGAAAAATAGGCAACTTTATTACCTTTCACTACTTACTAAATATCAGCGAAATATCTGAAGCGGTTCTGAAAATAATAATTAATTTCCATTTTTTTTCCTAAAAGTTCAACACCCCGAGTTTTTGTAAGGAAACATTTTTGGACCATAGTTTATAAAGCAAACTAACATTAATTTTTCATTTAGATTCACACCCTTAAAAATTCGCATATCATTAAGGAACACCCTGTATAAAATGAGCTGTTTAAACTCGTCTCCGAATTCCATTAACAAGATACCAATTCCCAACATATACAACACAAAAAAAAATTAAAAATAGAACAATAAATCGTATAATGATTAGATATTTAAAATTAAAAGTTCTGTCCATGTTCTATTATCGAATAAAAGAAACTGTGGTGGTTAAAAAATAGTCCAACGTTATGTACATCTTAGATATCTTTTAGACTGCAACTGATCAATATAACAAACCAAAATACTATTACCAGGTACAGTTAGACACAGATTCATGGAAAGGATAAAGGTATTTCTAAATAGCAAAAATCTGAGCTATTTCTTGCTATATTTGATGTTTGGCCTTTTTGTTGGTAAATATTATGGGGAGGTGTTTAACATTGACTTCATGAAATTAATGATGAAATTCTGCAACATTGGTTCGCTTGGAAACACCGCATCTCGTACATTCCAAGGCAAGGTTTCCACCTCCATGATCATAAATGAGCAATTTTGGTCAGAACAGATCCAGGCCTCATTGGGAAATCAAAGATAATTCCGAAATAAATTAAAACACTAAGTCGCATCAAACTTGAAATAAATAATTCTGATCAAAGTGAGAACAAAATATTAAATTAAATATTCGAATTTTTGCATTTTTTTCTACCAATAGTTCCGTCGCCGATTTTACAATCTGCACATTTTTACCAACATATTTTTTTCAGGTGCACTCCGGAACAGTTGAACGTACTGAAGGACCAAGGCATCCTGCCAAGTAGCGCGCCATCCTGCGGACTGATAACGAAAACGGATGCAGAAAGGTTGTGCAGTGCTCTGTTATACGGCCAGCACAGGTTCGGACTGAGGCCGAGGAAAGACGCGCTCTCGATTCCAGTCTATCACGAATGTTTTGGCAGGTAAGATCAACTGACAGTTTGTAGTATTTAGTTCGAATAAGTATTTTTAGAGATGCAACGAATACTCGTAGTCCAACAAGTATATTTGTATCTGCTTGGAAAAATATGATAATTCGTTTTTTTTTCATAATCCTACTGAACATCTAACCCTAAAACATGGTAGGTATATCAAGTCAGCGTTGTAACAGAATTTACTGGCCTGCTTTGCTTAACAACCGTAGCACCCAAGATATGTGGGACACTTTCGCTCAACGAGTCCTAAGCGAAACGGCTGACAATACTGTTGAAAAGAAGGTATACTGTGACCCCTCAAAGCCCTGGATCAACTCTAACATATCGAGGATGCTTCGTCACAAGAGATCTTTGTGGCAACGGTTTAGAAGGAGCGGCCATTCACAAGATTACGTGTCTCATCGATCCTTTTCTAACCTCCTATCTAGAACGTTACATAATGCCAAACATGCTTATGAACGAAAACTCGTTACCTCCAAAAATAAGAAGAAGCTGTTTCGGTATCTAAGAACAAACCTGCATTCCAAAGTTTCATCACCTCAGATCCGCGACGCTGACGGTCATCTCCACATGGATGCCACCGAATCTGCCAACTTACTGGCAGAGTCCTTTAGTGATGACTTCGTCGATGAGCCTAATGGAGACCTTCTACCGACCACTATCTGCCATAGGTGTCCCAACAGCCTTTGCGAAGTTGAGTTCCTGCCTGAAGATGTATTAATGCACCTGCGAAATCTGAAGACCTCTTCCTCCCCTGGTAAAGATGGGATGACGGCTGCTGTACTTAAAAACTGCGCTTCAGCACTGGCCCTCTACCATTAAGCTTGATATTCACATCGTCTTTTAGATCTCATACCCTACCCTCATGCTGGCTTAGTGCTTCTGTTGCCCCTGTATTCAAAAAGGGCGACAAATCCTCCGCTAAAAATTATCGACCAATAAGTCTCGTTCCTATCGCCGCCAAAATAGCTGAAAGAATCATATTAGATAAGCTCCTGTCATTTGCTTTCGAAAATGACCTTATCCCTAAGAATCAGCATGGATTTCTCCCTGGTCGATCAATAATGACCAACCTTCTCCACTCTCTCAACGATTGGACTCAGTATCTGGACACAAAGACTCCTGTTGATATAATCTACTTAGATTTTTCTAGGGCTTTCGATCGCGTACCACATAGAAGGCTTCTGTTTAAGTTGGAATGTATGGGAATAAGAGGCGAGTTGTTACTGTGGATTAAGGCTTTTCTCACCGGGAGGACTTTCTCTGTGCGCGTCAGTGATAGCCAGTCTCACCTTCATCATGTAGCAAGTGGAGTTCCTCAAGGCTCTGTCTTGGGGCCAGTGCTGTTCCTTCTGTATACAAGTGACCTGCCCGCATTGATTTTCTCCACAGGTTCATCTTATGCCGACGACACCAAGATTTACAATACTGTCGTAAATTCTGCTATGCTTCAACGAGATCTTGATATTGTTTGTCAATGGCCAGTCAGTTGGCTTTTAACCCTTAAATCTAACTAAGTGTTGTGTCCTTCACCTCGGGAAGACAAATCCGCGATTTACATACAAGATCTCTGACCACAACATCGAAGCAGTTTCCAGCCACACTGATCTGGGCGTTGTAGTCAACGATCGTCTTTCCTGGTCAGAGCATATTCACCACGTTACATCAAAAGCCAAGAAACTTCTATACATGCTGGAGAGGTCTTTCAAAGGATCCGATGTCAACACTTGCGCCTACATTTACAAGGCATTCGTGAGGCCAATTCTTGAATTCGCAGGCCCGGTATGGGACACTGTGCTTCTGCGCGATAGAAATCTCGTCGAATCAGTACAGCGTCGGGCTACTCGTATCCGTTTTGGAGCACGAAGATCAAGCTATGAAGATCGCCTTGAATTATTCAACCTGACCTCATTCTCTGAGCGAAGAATTCGTGGCGATCTTATAGTTAGGTTCAGGATACTTCATGGTTTGATGGGCACCAACCTCATGCATCTATACCGTCTGTCGCGCAGCAATCTACGCGGACACAGCTTCAAACTGCATAAGGAGCCATTTAAAACAACAGTCCGACAGTGGTTTCTTCGCAACCGCATATTCAACACCTGGAATAGTTTACCTGAAAGTGTGGTTGGTGCTACTTCAGTTAATAGCTTCAAACTGCAGTATGATAGCTGGAGGAGTGTACAAACTTTATAGCTATGAACTGTCTTTTTTTATTTTTTTCTATTTGATGTATTTGTGTTACGTGTCCGTACACTATATTTACTGCATGAGCTTATAGTACTGTGTACTCTGCTCATCTCAATTATCATAATAATAATAAATTTTAATCATGTCATGTTGATGTAATATCTGAAACTGATCCTATAGTTTTCATGCTGATAGCAAAAAGATATCTCTAAAAAGATTCTTGCAACGCCCATGGTAGGACTGCATGATTGGGCGCTAAAAGAAACCACATGCAGTCCTTTAAGTCATTCTGTAAATCGGTAAAAAAGTAAATTGTTCTACATTTCAAGATTTTGTTTTCTGCTTCTAAAACATTTTTCAGGTCTATGTTTTGAAATTCTCTATCGGCCCTATGCCATTCTACAACCTAACTGCATAATCATATCAAGAAAAATAAATAGCTAATTTAAAATCTACAAGCGACCGGCCAAGAAATGCGATTTATCATACTCCTGGAATTAAGAATTCATCATTTAAAGTGTCAACTCAGCTATAATTCGAGCGTTCGAAAATCCAGTGAGCTATTTATTCCATTCCGTTTATCTATAAATATCGCTTCATATTTTCTACATACAGGGTGTATATCAAGAGCAAACAGTAACAGTACATTCCAAAATAGAACAAGTTACTCTTCGCGAAGTGCATAATGAGGGTAACCGCGCGATGTACGAAAAGGGAAATATCATGGGAGATATAGTGGAATATAGGCGTCGTCTCTGTGGTGAAATCTGAGGCCATTTGTCAACGTTACAAAAATATTTAACACGTTCACGAAAGGGCACACATATTAATTACTTTTTAAATGACTGATGCCACTAGGACACTCTGAAAATGCCATTTAATTTCCTCAGGGTACTTTTCGACGCAATACACAAAATCATAACTCACGCAGGCCGATAAGACGAGTGAGTTCTATCCCACTTCTGATGTTATAGATGGAACAAATATACGCCGTCTTGATATACCATATTTTCAGCGTCAGGACGCGATACTCGGTGTACCTTCATTATCCCAGATTCTCTCCGGTGCGCCTCTCTAATCACTTGACATGATCTAAACAAATCAGATGTCTTGTATGCATCCAAAATTATCATTATTTATTCTCTAAGCATAGGCGTAGGTGTCGGTACTATCGGTCATTTAATGATATACTGAAATTGTCGCCCATTGCAGAACTTTTAAACAGACGAATTATTACAATCGATTAAAATTCGCATAATGACAATTTGCAAAATATTTCCGATTAGATGTCTATGCGTCTCGCAAGGGCAATCAGAAAATGCCAATTTAATTTCTCCAGGGTACATGTTGACACAATACACGAAATCAACACTCACAGGCGAATGAGTTCTATCCCACTTCTGATGTAACAGATCTAAAAAATGCGAATAATTCAAGTTGTTGTAGTTTTACCAAGATACTAGGTCTTGTAATGACCCACGGCTTGGCTTCTCAGGCACAGAACACGAATATTCTTCAAAAAACTATTTAGTAAGATGGTATTTCTATGCTTTTATCCACTCCGATTTGAAAATTATAGTGTCGATACCCTACATCTTGGCAACGACTCGTGTTGATATCATCTTGCCTAGTTATTTTTGCAATATAGATGTTGCCACTGGTTTTTGGGTCACCCTGTACTTTCCTTAATTGATGCTTATTACGTTCGGCCCGGCGGAGCGGCGGCGAGATGAGAAAAAACAAAAATAAATCCCAGTCGAATTAATGCCAAAACATCGGGCATTCCTTGGAAATAAATACGCGCTGTGCTGCCAACTGGTCTCGACGCGTATCTTTCAAAGCCGCCTTTTTAAAATTGATTGTCTAATTTACAACAATCTGGTAGAATACGCAGATTCGAGTTAACGATAAAAATACCACATTACTCTTACTCTTCGTCGTATTTTTTGATGAAATGCCAAGTAATCCAGATACAGATTCGGATACGAATGTTTTTACAGAGAAGCCGTAATATTTATTCTTTCTGGGTGTTATGACTTATAAGGTGATAGTCCAAGGAATATCTTCGCATTCGCTTGGAAAAATATACTGATTCGTTTTTTTTCAAAATTGCGTCAAAACATTTTTTAATTAATTCCTAAATAGCGGTTTTTTCGTTCCAGTCAAGGTTTCTCCAAGTTATGGTTATGGACTTCTCTCTACAGTTGATAGTTTTCGAGAAATCAGCGATTTAATATATGCCACATTTGGCTCCGAAAAACAAAAACTTTAATGTTGCCAAAACTCGTAAATGTTTCAAAAATATATGAAAAAATTCCAAAGGATTTGGGGGCTGCTGTCAGTGTAAACGTTTGTTTTTCTAATGTTAATCAAACGCACGCTCAATGCATATTCTGAATAAGCTTGGGCTATTTCGAGACCATATATACAATTTTTTAGACGGAAGCACGTCAATAAATAGATGGTATTGCTTTCTTAATACAATGTATAGAATTTGCATTCATGACTTTAGCATATTCTAGCTTAGCAGATGTAACCTAATATACATAATTGTTTTAGGGCGCGTGGTGTGTGCTATCCCGAACTCTACACGTCGCGAGGCGCACGCTGCATCGAATGCGGCGACTGTCGCGCCGCCTTTTCCCCGCAACAGTTCGTGCGACACGTACATCGCCGCCCCGAAAATCGCACCGTCCATTGGGGTTTCGACAGCGCCAACTGGCGGCTGTACCTGAAAGCGCCGGGGGCGGAGTCACAGACCGGTGCAGCCACGCCTACTTCGGCCGATGGCTCCGCCCCCAACGAGCTCGAAGTCGAGCAGGAGCGATACAGGGCGGCGCTGGACGAGATGCGTGACAGGTGCGAAGGCCGGCTGGCATTCCCTAAGGAACGGAAGGGCATCGTGGAAGCGGTCGTTGTCAAGGAAGAAGGCGCGCTTAAAAGGAAACAGGTGAGTCCATTCTCATTTTATATAATCGTCGTCACCTAAAGAATTACACCGTTCACTGGCGGCTGTATTTTAAAGAGCTGCAGGCGGTCGAGGCCACGCCCACTTCGGCCAATGGCTCCGCCCTCAACGCGCTCGATGCCGAGCAAGAGCGATATAGGGCGGCGCTGGACGAGATGCATGACAGGTGGGAAGTCGGCGGTCGTTGAAAGGAATAATGCGCGTTAAAGAAAAAAACAGACGAGTCTATTCTCATTTTATACAGGTTGTGTATTCAATGGTTACTTAGTGCAAGGTCTAAAAGGCGAGAAAAGCGGCAACGCGCGATAGCGAGCACGCTGCTGCGGCTTGGTCATCGCCGGCGGTCGAATGTGGGCGCATCACCTGAGAAGGAGACAGCGTTGTCGCTCTTAAGCCTAATGAGTAAACTTTTATAACACAATCTGTATAGTGATCGCACCGTCTATAAGGATTTCGACAGCTCCAACTGGCGGCTGTATCTGAAAGCGCCGGAGGCGGAGGCACAGGTCACGCCCACTTCGGCCGATAACTCCGCCCACAATCCGCTTGATGCCGAGCAACAGCGATATAGGGCGGCGCTGGGCGAGATGCGTGACAGAAGCAAGGAACGGCTGGTGTTCTCTAAGAAACAGTGGCATTGTTGCTTCATTCATAAAAAAAGTGAAAACACTAATTTGATAGGGGAATGATACACCCTTGAAATAACTTTGGTGAAAATTCCTCGAACGTGTGTTAAAAAAGACTTTTCAAACGGTAGAAGTGGTGCAGATATACATTTTTAATCCAAGAGATAAATGTTACGGAAATGTGGCCGCAACCAATGCTGGCGCAGGAATTTCAACACGTAGAAGATATAAAAATATTCGCCATATCCTCGCGATTGTAATTCTCACGGGTCAAGTACACCGAGCAGCATAATTTCCATACAATGCCAATAAAAAGATTGTATTACGCAAACGTTTCGAATAATATGTCAAGCTCGACGATGCATTCTGATTTATAGACGAGAAATTTGCGACCGCCTATCATTTTATAGGTGTGTACAGTCAAAGACAAAAATAATTGTGATATGTTCTTCCCATTGTCTTGTTAATTCCTGCTTATTGTACATGGTTTCGGTCACCACTGTATCCTTTTTCCAAATACAATGACAATATTTTGTCGATCTCTCTTTCAGGTGACAGTTCAAGAATTTTTTCTTTTCTTCATTCCTATACAGTGTGCCGCAATAATAGATTGAATGTGCCGCGAAGCCATCATTACAATTTTGAGATGGCAGAGCGTAAAACCAGATAAGATCGCTATATATTTAAAACGGTTAGTTGTTAATGCTTCGCCTAATGAATGTTTATGACTTTTCGCACTGAATATCAAGTCACCGTTGTGTATTCTTGGCATTAGAATTCGAGAATGAACCCACGGAATTCGCCAGCGGCTCTAAAGATATGTATATGAGCTGAGATTTTATACGAGATTTGAGGTGCTTGTCGAAGTAAGCTTTCTTAAACGGTATACCCCACTCCGTCAAATATCTCGGCTTTAAGGATACAATTCTATGAGATGGAATGATGTTTTACCCACTTCCCAGTATTTTGAATAGATATGTGGAGGTTCTCGCCTGGTAGAGGAAACCGAGCAGTAAGTAACATAACTACCTCAACCCAGCAAACGGGCTCCGAAAGTCCCATAACAACCCCCAGAACCTGGAGGCGTCCCACTTGCGGATATTCAATAACAAGTCGTAAGCCATAAGTTAAATTATGAAGGTAAAAAGTTTAGCATCTTTATAAACATGGCTTAAGACATTCATGATCATGAATATAAAAGTATTATGGTTATCAATCCATGCAGTACAGTAGAATAAAGGAAACACTCAGTGATTGCTCACCTTTCAGGTAACCAAAACACTACACCCAATCATCAACACTGTAATCAAGTTCACAAAGCGCACTACTTGGTCTGAGAAGCGATCTCCTCCACGCAATAATTGAACTGCATCGCCATCCACGCCCGTATCTTTAACAAAGTTTATCCTGGGAAGAAGTACCCAGAGAAGGAATGGAATGTATAATGTAAACAGGCCTAAGGGCCTTAGCGCTGAGTGACACTAAGCAGCCTTGTGAACCTACTGGAAAGTTTTTATGTGCTACAGGGTTGGACTCGCATGCAAAAATGTGTTTGAGATATTTCGTAAGCTTACACATTGTACACTCCATACAAAAAATAGCATTAGTATGCCATGAAATGTTTACAAGGTTCTCAAAGGCCCCAAAGAACACAACTTTTCCCTAAGCTCCCACAGGTATTGAGATCCTTATGCATAGGATCCTTTCGTTATATCGGGCACCCTGTATAAAAAGCAACATAGGGCGGAGCTGGATTAGATGTTTGACAGGCGGGCTGGGGTTCCCTAAGGGACAGAGCGGCATTTTAAGGCGGTCGTTGCAAGGAAGAATGCTCATTAAAGAAAAAACAGAGTCCATTCTCATTTTACATTTGTATAATCATCGTCGCCCAGAGAATCGTACCGTCTACTAGGGCTTCGGAAGCTCCAGCCGGCGGTTGTATCTGAGAGAGTCGGCCACGCCCACTTCGGCCGATGACTCCGCCCCCAACCCGCTTGATGCCGAGCAGGGGCGATATAGGGGGGCGCTGGACGAGATGCGTGACAGATGGGAATCGGCCGGCTGACGTTCCCTGAGAAACAGCATTGTCGAGGCGACCGTTGCCACTTCGTTCATGAAAAAAGTGAAAACACTCAGAATTTGATAGATAAATGATACCCCGTTGAAATAACAACTTTGGTGAAAATCCCTCGAACGTATGTTAAAAAAATACATTTCAAACGGTACATAGTGATGCAGATATACAATTTTTTATTCAAGAGATACAATGTGCATTTGTTTTCGGATCATACAAAAAAATAACATTAGTATGCCATGAAATGTTTACAAGGTTCTTAAAGGCATGTAAATACGCCACAAAGAACGCAACTTTTTCCTAAGCTGTATATCCCACAGGTATTGAGATCCTTATGCATAGGATCCTTTCTTTATATTGGGCACCCTCTATAAAAATCAAATTCGGCCAATGGCTCCGCCCTCAACGCGGTCGATGTCGCGCAGGAGCGATATAGGGCGGAGCTGGATTAGATCTTTGACAGGCCGGCTGGGGTTCCCTGAGGGACGGAGCGGTATTTTAAGGCGTTCGTTGCAAGGAAGAATGCTCATTAAAGAAAAAAACAGAGTCCATTCTTATTTTACATTTGTATAAACATCGTCGCCGAGAGAATCGCACCGTCTACTAGAGCTTCGGAAACTCCAGCCGGCGGCTGTATCTGAGAGAGTCGGCCACGCCCACTTCGGTCGATGACTCCGCCCCCAACCCGCTTGATGCCGAGCAGGAGCGAAATAGGGCGGCGCTGGACGAGATGCGTGGCAAATGGGAGGCCGCCGGCTGGCGTTCCCTGAGAAACAGCATTGTCGAGGCGACCGTTGCCACTTGCCACTTCGTTCATGAAAAAAGTGAAAACACTCAGAATTTTATAGAGAAATGATACCTCGTTGAAATAACAACTTTGGTGAACATCCCTCGAACGTATGTTAAAAAAATACTTTTCAAATGGTACATAGTGATGCAGATATACAATTTTTTATTCAAGAGATACAATGTGCATTTGTTTTCGGACCATACAAAAAAATGACATAAATAAGCCATGCAATGTTCACAAGGTTCTCATCTGCTCCAAAAAAAAAAAAGAGTGATTCGGTTTTATTGCATAATCTTATTCAAAAGGACTTATTTTAACGAATCTGCATATTGATAGGTTTTATAAACAAATAACAAAATTGTTTCTTTCGCACCGGGAAAAGTTTTTCTACTTTTTTTTTGGGTCATTCTCAACAACAAAAAAGTTCCTTATGAACTTTTCTTTGTGGCGCCAGTAGTTTATTACCCTGAAAAATGAAATTTTCTAATTTTTATTGCTACTCGGGTATCAGGGTTTTTCGTCAAGTATTACCCGGGTCCGAAAAATCTTGGATATCCGGGTATACCCGCCCCGGGAACCCGGGGCCGACAGCCCTATTACAAACTCGGTGCATCCCCAATTTTTTCTATAGATCCAGATGTCTAACTGCTTAATTGGTTCTGCCGCGTCATGTTTGTCCTTCGCATATTAATAATTAATTCTTCTTCTCTGGCATCGCATACCGAAATTAATTTTGTCGTTCGTCATCTTTAAAATGATAATTGACTTGTGAACGTTGCAGAAAGATGGATGTGCGTGTACTTGCTATGACGTCAACCCGTCAAGTTACGAAAAAATTAACTAGACGAGACAGCGCGAAATCCACTTGAAGCATGTTGATACGAATAAAATACTGTACAGATTTATTTTTCGAGGTTGCTATGCGCGAAAATATTGGCTGGACTACTGAAAAAAAATATGAGAAACTGCTTTGAGGTGAACGATCTCATTTTAAAATCGATTACTCAACCCATATTTTCATTGTGCTGTTTTAAAGGTTGCATCGTGTATAATTTTGGAGAAAATATTCACGCTATCGCTGTTCCAAATACCCAAATCTTTAGCGTGGTTCTTCGGATTTAGATTTAGCTGGATATGATTTCAAACAGAAAGAATTTACTCATCAGTTTGACAAAAAAAATTGAAGAGCAAGAACAAAATCCAAATTTTTCAGTGTATTTCGGTGAAAAATGATTCCCTATTCTAGATTTAAAAAAAGCATGTTTGAGGAAATTTTTTTGTCTACCCATAATAACCCTGCACGACAGCAGATCGTGGACTAAAAAGAAGGCAAACATTTTGCAAAAGATTTTTTCCGCTGTCAGAATTACCTGAGAACCGTTGTTCCTAAAGTTTTCAGATAAAAAAAAACCTGAAAACTAGAATCTTAAAGCTTCAAATAGCTAGTTTTAGAATCTCAATACGACCATTTTTCAGCCTGACAAAAATCACCAATAAATTTTAGATTTTTTTCGTCATCCCTTAATTTTTCTAAAAGTAGATTCGATCAGTATTTTGTTGGAATTCCAGAAACAGTAAAAAAATATTGTTGCCCCAAAATTTCTCGTGAAAGCCAATGTCCCAGTAACAATACATCCCTAAAACTTAAAAGTGATCATCTTCATCGGTTTTCCGTAGACCGATCCGATACCACCCCGTGCATATTTCCAATGCTTTCACCCCGCAAAACGCAAAGCGAAAACAACTTATCAATTTATGGTTCCTTACTTAGCCGACGCTCATGTATTCATATCATTTTGGACTCTGCACCATTAGTACGCGTTTCCTTACTTGTTTTTACGAAAATGATAATTGGAATGTATCCACTACATCGATGATTTTATTAGGCACGTTTTGTTTACATTTTAAAGAGATAAGCGAGACTTTGGTGCCAATATTCTAATAACTTTTTCTTCTTTCAATTATTTATACACTTGGCAGCAAAATTAGTTTCTTACTCCTATGGAGTCACTTCCAAATTGTTATAGAAAAAAGAAAACATTTCAAGAGATTCTAGGATTTTTCTATACCAACATTGGTTGAAATAGGCAATAGAGATGGCAAAAATAGATCGCAGATCCTACCGCAGTGGCAGAATCGAACAATATTACTCTTTTCAAAGTAGATTCCTTAACTCATTTTTGTGTTCTGCTACATCTT